ACAGGTTGGGTTAAGCTCCTGGGCCCTGGCTGAGTAAATTGCTTATCGTCTTTTGCAATGGTTCTAGACCCCTTTCCCTTGTTTCTGGTTATATATGTTTTGACAGTTATAAAGGGAAATGGGGAATTAGTAAATCCTATTTTCCCCTCTTATTTTGTGTATATATCCATTCATAAAGCTGTTTTTATTACGAGGGTTGAGCTTTAGCTGCTAATGCCCGCCTCTCAATTTGCCCGTCAACTGGAGTACTGGAACCTAACGAGACTTGATGAATTAATACAAATCTTATACTTGAATACAACTGCAGCTATTGGATATTCTGTTGTGCACTGTATATATATATATATATATATATATATATATATATATATATATATATATATATATATATATATATATATATATATAAGGGCTAGTGTATGATGCCCTCAAGTGTCTATGGGCATAATATATCTGCCTACGAATGTTTTTTAATATTCCAAAACATCTCTCTGTTCGATTTATCCATAAGGCCTGATTTTTACTACTTAAATATTAAGAGGTTACTTCCGCGTCACTTAGCTACGGGTCCTTCGCCAGCTCATGCAAGGTCTCACGATAATTTGACGAGACAAAAATATGTCAATAGCGATCGAAAATTGAAAATTGTTATGTAGAATAGTAACTTAACAATCAATTGAATGATTGTAAGAGTTTGGGAGCAGGGGGGGGGAAATATTGGTGGTTGAGAGATGAGCTGTGATCTGATTGGGTTATTGGTGGCTGTGATTGGGGGGGGGGGAGAAGTTATAAAAGGTCCTTTTTTTTATAAAAGTCAGTAATTCCATTTTGTGCTCTTCATACGATTTAGGAAATGTGCGACTTCATATCTCCATTAAAACTCCATTAAAAAATTGTAAGAACATTTTTAATCAAATTTGTAATAATAGCGACAAGTTAAATTATTCAAAGTTATCCTTTGAAACACACAGAAATCACAATGATACTTTTGACCATGTACTAAATGTGTAAATTGTGTAAACTGTTTTTTTTGTTTTCAAATGCATTTGAGACCATGGGGGGGGGGGTATTTTGAGGTTATCTTGAGGTTATCTTGAGATAATTCCTGGGCTTAGCGTCCCTGCGGTCCGGTTCTCGATCAGGTCTCCTTTTTGTTACACACCCTCAGGAAGAAGCCCGTAGCAGCTGTCTAACTCCCAGGAGCCAATTTACTGCTGGATAACAGGGGCATCAGGGTGAAATAAACTCTGCCCATTTGTTTCCGCCTCCACCGGGGATCGAACTCGGAACCTCAGGACTACGAATCCAGTGTAACTCTGTAATTTCTATTGGTAGTAAAATAATTGTTGTCTTGAAATTTGTACATGATGTGATTCTTCGTAATTTTTTAATATATTATTTTATTTCTCTATCTTTAAAAGGTGAGTGATAGTGTGATAGGAGGCCTGGTCGAGGACCGGGCCGCGGGGACGCTAAGCCCCGAAACCATCTGAAGGAAACCTCAAGGTAAGGTAGTACAATCATTTCACAGTCTTTTGCAGTTGCTTTATCCTAACAGCCTAGTGAAACAAGGCTGTTTGAGTTGCTTTTCTAGATTGTCAGTGATGTCACTGGTATCTAGACTGCCTACCTCAGGATATTTACATCCTCTAGTAGGATGTTTTTTTCTGCAGTGTTCGATGAAACTATTGTTGAAGGCAAAGTACATGGATATAATTCCCAATGATTTCCTCGAATTCCAGTTGAGTTAGGGTTCACGTGTAGAGTGCTCGCGTGAGGCTCGAATCGCCATCGTGAAGAATTTGATTGGGTTGTCAATCTTCGGCGAGGTGGATTGGTTGATTGAACACAGAGTTGCACTTTGTTCACTTTATGTCGTCCATTTGTTCTCATCAGTCAAGGCTGGGATTGTGAACGTCGCTTTTACGGTACAGCGGCTGATACTTCCCTTTATTATTATTATTATTTTTATTATTACTTTGGTTTATTTTTGTCAGGATATAACATTCGATTGTACTGTATTTTTAATAATGTAATTCGTGCAAAGAATAAATCTCTTGGTCTTCATATCATGTGTGTGTCTCTATCTCTGTCTCTCTGTCCCTGTCCCTGTCTCTGTCCCTTTGTCCCTGTTTCTAGCACTCTGTCCCTGTCTCTGTCCCTCTGTCCCTGTCTCTGTCCCTTTGTCCCTGTTTCTAGCACTCTGTCCCTGTCTCTGTCCCTCTGTCCCTGTCTCTGTCCCTTTGTCCCTGTTTCTAGCACTCTGTCCCTGTCTGTTTCTCTCTGTCCCTGTCTCTGGCTCTCTGTCCCTGTCTCTGGCTCTCTGTCCCTGTCTCTGGCTCTCTGTCCCTGTCTCTGGCTCTCTGTCCCTGTCTCTGGCTCTCTGTCCCTGTCTCTGGCTCTCTGTCCCTGTCTCTGTCCCTTTGTCCCTGTTTCTAGCACTCTGTCCCTGTCTCTGTCCCTGTCCCTGTCTCTGTCCCTTTGTCCCTGTTTCTAGCACTCTGTCCCTGTCTGTTTCTCTCTGTTTTCTCCTTTAAACTAAGCCATTAGATTAAGCATTTAATCTGCATTAGGAATGGCATTGATGAATACAGTGAAGCTGTAAGCAAGAGATGTTTCCTGGCTGCCTTGTTGCTTGCTACGATGAGCACGAGGCTCTGAAGGAAAGTTAAACTTTGTTACTAATGTGTCGCCTTTATCACTATAAGCTCTAGCTTGTAGCCTGGCTATTTGTATGTCTGTGCAACATTTGCAACATTAGTTTTGTTATTATGTTTCAGTATCGTCTGTGTTTTGTCTGTTTCAGTGAACATCATTTGTGTTTCCTCAGCCACAGATGTGATGTTATTGTCTCTCTCTGTCTCTCTCTGTCTCTCTCTGTCTCTCTCTGTCTCTCTCTGTCTCTCTCTCTCTCTCTCTCTCTCTCTCTCTCTCTCTCTCTCTCTCTCTCTCTCTCTCTCTCTCTCTCTCTCTCTCTCTCTCTCTCTCTCTCTTTTTCCTTCTCTTTTTCTTTCTTTTTCCTTCTCTTTAACTCTGTCTTTGTTTTTCTCTTTCGCTTTTATTCTGTCTTTCTTTTCTCTTCCTCTTTCCCTTTGTCTTTCTCTTTCCCCTTGTCACTTTCTCCCTCTTTATTTCTTTCTCTCTTTTTATGATTTCTTTATCTTTCTTTGTCTCTTTTCTCATTATCTTTTTCTCTAGATCTTGAGAGAGAAAAGCACTTAAGTTTCACCAGTCCTAACCTCGAACCATTGAACTGAAACATTACACCAATAACCTCAAGGACTGACGCTCGAGCAGCTGTCTGTGAATGCTGCAACCCGTCCTCGACTCAAGTCCATTACATCCAGCAGTCAACCCCATAGCCGCATTCATAAATTTTTACATGCTGTTCATTCAAAACAGGAATTTTCTCAAATATAAATTAATATTATAATATATTAGCATATTGTGCATATATAGGCATAGGTTAGGTTAGGTTAGGTGTTTAGGTTCTGTTGGCGATTATTTGTATTTGTAGTACGTGGGTGAAGCATTTATAGCGTTGTGATTCGAACAAAATTCGTCAGTGAAACACTTGTTCCGGATATGTTCGAACGTCAGCAGTTGTGAGTCGTGTGTAAACCGCTTTTCATTCATAAACAGGGGGTTTGGCGGGTGCATGGAATCACTTTTGGATCTTTGTTTGGAGGACGGGCTGGAATACTGCCAAGCAGCCCTGGAGCGCGCGTCAGCACCGAAGCTGTAATATCGAAAAAAATCAGATTTATTTTGTAGAATAATAGGCAGCGGTTAGATTACAGATCTTGCGAATTTATTACAGGTCATTTTCACTTCTCCATAAGGCCAAACATTCCTCATGTGATCTACGGTTTATATAGCATTCTGTAACCCCTGCAGGAGAGGCACTGTGTCTTACAAGTCCGTTCGGAACGGAGTATTATGACCGTTAGACAACAGGAGAACGGGTAGGTGTCTTATAAGTAAATTAGTCTAGAAGGGGAGTGTGTTCACTATAGAACACGGAGAAACGGGTCAACTTTGCAATAACATATCGCTTCAGACGGCAGGACAAGCCGTGTCAATGAGTAATAATTCATGACAATGGGTTAATTACTCGTGACTATCGAGTGTCACTAAATTTAAAGTGTCATCCTGAGGCACTGGCATGGCCACGCTGTGACACCAGTGATGTGACAAACGAGAGTAATGACAAGAAGAGAATCAGTGAGAAATGTCAATGAGTCCGTGAATGACAAGAGTCTGGTCATATTTAAAACCTAATTCATGTTCGAAGAAAAAAAACTATGACACCCCCTTTACTGCTGATGGTGATAAATCGACACCTGAAAGCGCCAAGGAGCCATATATATGAATCTCTCTTTTTGCAAACTGGATGAGACTAGCTATTGGTTGTCAAGGTTGCTATGACTACGGTACAATGTGGCGGTGTGAGGGGACTGCCTTCTATCATGTCAACAGAGGTATATATGAGGGGAGAGGGGGGGGGGGACAAAGGTGTTTGGGCATTGTTTAGAGATTAGGCATCGTGTTCCCCTCTTCACGTATGATCTGTGACACTATCCTAAAAGAATCTCTCTCTCTCTCTCTCTCTCTCTCTCTCTCTCTCTCTCTCTCTCTCTCTCTCTCTCTCTCTCTCTCTCTCTCTCTCTCTCTCTCTCTCTCTCTCTCTCTCTCTCTCACTCTCACTCTCACTCTCTCTCTCTTTCTCTCACTCTCACTTTCTCATCATTAACGCCGATTCTCTCGCCTTTAATTTTAATTATGGAAAGGTTTTTATATCTTGTAACAGCTTACATCTGATATAAAAATCAACATATTTACACAAATTTTCGGCGATGCAGAAACCAGACTTACAACCTCAACCAACCAACATTGGAGGTTTAACCCCACCTCAAAAGACGTCGTTTGGTAGGTCTCCCTCTGGCCTCAGGCACACTGAAGGCACCCCTTGGGCACTGGCACCTTCGGGGGGTACTCACTTGGGCAGTAAGGTGGGTCTCTCTCGACACATCTTCTTGATGAAGGCGATGTAAGGGCAGTGGAGGATCATGATGATCAGGACGCCTCCTATCTGGGCCCCGATGGTCCAGCCTAAAGAATTCACCAGCTCGAGTTCGGCGGCGTGGCGGTCGTACTCCGGCATCACTAAGAACGGATCTAATCTGCTGTAATAGCACCAGAATCTCCGTCCGGGCTTGCCGAAGTACTTGTAAAATATGGAACAGTTGACCGCCGGCGGGTAGCCACAGCCTTTGACGTTTATGTATAAGGAGGCGTTTAGGACGTCCCAGTAAGCAGGGTCAATATATGTGGTGTTCGGTGCGTCAGCGTCTAGAAGAGTGGTGTTGACGCCGACGTCACACTCCCCTTCGATGTCCGCCTCGGTGTCATTGCTCACGGAACAGTTTCTGTATACCACTGTGATCTGCGAACAGTTGTATATGTCTTTAGTACAGCCCTCGGTGCACGAGCACCAGGATATATTTTTGATGCCAACCACCACCTGGGCGAAGGTGGTCATGCAGAGGACGGGCGTGGGCTGGAACTCGTAAGTGAGGGTGGCCAGCGCCGGGTCTATGGTCATGGGCACGAGGAACAGTAGGGTGAAGATCCCCCCTATGATCATAAGGGCGGAGATGATGGTCAGATACAGTTTTAAAATAGTTACACATGATGTTTTCTTTTTCTTTTTGGTTTTTCGGTCTTTGAGGAGCTGTCTGAGGGCCTCTTTGCCAGCGTTTAGTTGAGCTCGGTTCACAAGCTCTTCCAACTGCTCCTGTTGGTCCTTTAGAGTCTGTTTACCTGTTTTGGGTTTGCCCTTGAGGTCCTCCTTTGAGGTGGAGGTGGAGGGCTCGCCGGGGAAAACGGGCCGTACCACATTACCTCTACCGATAAACTGGTTTGCTGGCACCAGCATCACGCCCACCGACGCACGCCCGTACCCATCACCACAGTTCACGGCCCTCACTCACCGCGCGACGCGCATACGGAACACGGCACTGACGTATAGGGCCCTCACAGGCCGCGTCACTCATCCTCCCACGAGGTGCGACTCTCCAGTGAGCCGCGTCCCACCACAGGTACCTCTCGCGGCCTCTGCTGCCACCTGGCGGCCACACCCCGCACTACCTCACAAACATACGCACGCCTCCACACGCGCACACATACACGTACATGCTCTCACTCGCATACATATACAACACACACACATAATACACAGACATAATACACAATGAACATACAACACACACTACACACTCGTGCTTTATCAGTGTGGGTGGTTCTTTAAGAGCTATGCGTGCGCGCGCGTGCGTGTGTGTATGTGTGTGTGTGAGTGTGTGTGTGTGTGTGTGTGTGTGTGTGTGTGTGTGTGTGTGTGTGTTGTATTGCGTGAGTGTGTTTAGAACTGAGAGAATGACTGAATGACCACTTGGACTGTTTGGTAGAACGAAGGGCTCGTTTTCTGCAATGTCGGCGTTCAATTCCCGATGCTCCAAGTGGTTGGGTAACGTCCCCTCACCCTATCCTCATCCTAATTCCTTGTTCTCATTTCCCAAGTGCTATATAGTCATACAGGCTTAGTGCTTTCTCCCCATAATTACCTTGATGCTGGCTCTTCGTCATGAATGTGACAAGAAAGGGGGAGACATAATCATTACATATAAAATCCTTAGGAACATTGACAAAGTACATAGCGTGAACAACAACAGAAAGGTAGGTCTTTGATGGAAACTTTAGACTCAGATTTTAACTTGAGACACAGGTATGTAAGGAAATATTTCTTCAGTCTGAGGTCGATGCTATGAAGAGTAGAGGTGGGCCCAAATATCGACCGCCCCCCAACGTAATTAGTGAAATGTGGTAGGACGAGTCCGTAGACTTCATGATGTTTTCTGAGACTAAGAGATATATGGGAGAGGAGAGAAGGCAGGAGGAAGGAGGCTGTTTGAAGAGAGGGGCAAACAAGTGAGGAGGAGGAGGAGGAGAGGGGAGGCTGTTTGAAGAGAGGGGCAAACAAGTGAGGAGGAGGAGGAGGAGAGGGGAGGCTGTTTGAAGAGAGGGGCAAACAAGTGAGGAGGAGGAGGAGGAGAGGGGATCTTTTTTAAGAAATTTTGAGAGGGGGCGGGGCGGGGAATAGGGAAAAAGACAGATCATAAATGTGGATAGTTAGGGAGAAAGGGGAAAAAGAGAGAGACCCAGGCACGGCCGGGTAACCTCCCAAAGAGTCTCATAAGTAGATATGATAGAAATACAAGGGTTTGGACACTTTTGCAATATGCGTTTGACAGCTGAAAAAGGCGGGCTCCAAGACCTTAAGGCTCGATTCTGCAGGCACAGGTAAATTCAATGTTTCTTTCCTTTTTCCTAGTGTATAGTGAGTGCCTCGACTTCTTACAACTGGCGGGGGATTCTTTATAACATCCACACACACACCTGGCTTCTTAGAAATACTTCTCCAAATTATCCCCCTTTTAAATAGGTGTTGTTATTAACGTGGCTACTTTTCCATACCCCTGCTCTTGGTCTTCAGATAATATAATCAAGTAAATCATGTTGGCTACACTACTGGTTCTCAGATAATCAATAAATCATGTTGGCTACACCACTGGTTCTCAGAAAATCAATAAATCATGTTGGCTACACTACTGGTTCTCAGATAATCAAGTAAATCATGTTGGCTACACCACTGGTTCTCAGATAATCAATAAATCATGTTGGCTACACCACTGGTTCTCAGATAATCAAGTAAATCATGTTGGCTACACCACTGGTTCTCAGATAATCAAGTAAATCATGTTGGCTACACCACTGGTTCTCAGATAATCAATAAATCATGTTGGCTACACCACTGGTTCTCAGATAATCAAGTAAATCATGTTGGCTACACCACTGGTTCTCAGATAATCAATAAATCATGTTGGCTACACCACTGGTTCTCAGATAATCAATAAATCATGTTGGCTACACCACTGGTTCTCAGATAATCAATAAATCATGTTGGCTACACTACTGGTTCTCAGATAATCAAGTAAATCATGTTGGCTACACCACTGGTTCTCAGATAATCAATAAATCATGTTGGCTACACCACTGGTTCTCAGATAATCAATAAATCATGTTGGCTACACCACTGGTTCTCAGATAATCAATAAATCATGTTGGCTACACCACTGGTTCTCAGATAATCAATAAATCATGTTGGCTACACCACTGGTTCTCAGATAATCAAGTAAATCATGTTGGCTACACCACTGGTTCTCAGATAATAAATCATGTTGGCTACTCCACTGGTTCTCAGATAATCAAGTAAATCATGTTGGCTACACCACTGGTTCTCAGATAATCAAGTAAATCATGTTGGCTACACCACTGGTTCTCAGATAATCAAGTAAATCATGTTGGCTACACCACTCGTTCTCAGATAATAAATCATGTTGGCTACACCACTGGTTCTCAGATAATCAAGTAAATCATGTTGGCTACTCCACTGGTTCTCAGATAATCAAGTAAATCATGTTGGCTACACCACTGGTTCTCGGATAATCAAGTAAATCATGTTGGCTACACCACTAGTTCTCAGATAATCAATAAATCATGTTGGCTACACCACTGGTTCTCAGATAATCAATAAATCATGTTGGCTACACCACTTGTTCTCAGATAATCAAGTAAATCATGTTGGCTACACCACTGCAGCAGCACTTTGGTACAACCAACATCGAGGGTCAGAACAAATCTCATTTACATTACCCAGAGCTGTGAGATCACACTAAAAGGTGTATGGGCAGGACCGGCACCTAATTTGGGAAATAGCTGCCATATCCGCCCAAAGAAAATCTGGTATAGTGCTATTGGCAATTTAGAGACACTGTGAAGCATGAAGGAAAAGTTATATAGAGTTGTATAGCCAAACTTAAGAGTTACTTTACGTATCTGTTGCACTAGGATGAAGTTATTGTAGTGGACGAATTTAAGTAAGTGGTAGTTTTGAGTATTAAAATCTTTTAAGTATTGAGTACTTGAGGTAGTTTTGAGTGAAAATGGCCCAGATTAACCCGCAGTTCTCAAAATACGATGTCCATCGAAAATATGACTTTTAAGTGTTATTTTTGAGCGGACGTCAAGGTAATTGTGTAAGTTTTAAATTACCACTTTTTATACCGAAAATATTCAAATTAGTGAAAACGTCGATTCTCTCCTAATGTGTATACCCCCCTAGTGAGTATACTCGTGGGAGAACAGAGAGCCATTCATATGAACAATCAGACATTTTTCACGTTCTCATTTTAATCGTCTGTATAGTTTTAAATGCAAGATCCTTAGCTTTCATTTTATTGTAGACAAATTAATTTAGTTGTTAGCACTGAAGACATTCGTAACAAAATGCAAATATTAACGCCACATTAATCGTTGTATTGTGAATGGATATAATACACAGTATATGTGGGGTTATATAAATTGGGGGCTTCAGTGTTATTAGAGTCTTCAGGCTTCCTAATTTGGAAGTCTTCGTTAAAACAAGTTACATATCTCCGTTCTTGAATGTCATCAGTCGCACGCGCCGTCCGGTCTTTAGATGTAATGACCGATTTGGCCAAATTCGTCCTCGCGGGTTCCCGGAGAATTTCTGGAATTAGTCGTTTGCTGTGTTATAAAATTACATTTGTCTTCACCCGTCTCCATCAGTGGATACATGTCACAGTCAAGAACCAAACAAATGGTAGTTTTGTCATTGTATTTATATCATTATATTTTTTTTCTCGGAGCTTTCAACCATCTGGTTATGTGTAGGAGGGATGTGCAGCAGTCTGTCTTGGATAATATGTAGTTTCATTGTTGTTTATACGTGTGTTTTGTGTTAGTTAGGATCATCTAGTATATTTATATAAATGTCTTAGCTATAAGAGAAAATGTCTGTCTGTTTGTCCAAAGTTGGAGGCCAGACGCTTGGAGTTAGTCTCACCCAAATTAGCAGGGGGAATGGTCTCGGGTACAGGTCGGACATAAGCTAGTTGGGGTAGGCCTAAGTTAAATGATTTAAGAAATATTAACAATTATAGTCACCCCCGTGCGTTTTTTGTGGAGTCACGTGGGAAATATATAGTGTGATTTCCCTAGAGTTTTTATTGATAGTAATACATTTTCTGAGATCCATACGGTTGCTTCAGTGCTTCGTTTTCTGATAGTAGGGGAGGAGGAGGGGCAATCAGGGAAAGGAAGAGGCTAGGGATCAAGGAGGGAGTTATCTTGAAGTTATCTTGAGAGAATTTCGGGGCTTTAGCGTCCCCGCGGCCCTGTCCTTGACCAGGCCTCCACCCCCAGGTAGCAGCCCGTGACAGCTGACTAACACCCAGGTACCTATTTTATTGCTAGGTAACAGGGGCATAGGGTGAAAGAAACTCTGCCCATTGTTTCTCGCCGGCGCCTGGGGTCGAATCCAGGACCACAGGATCACAAGTCCAGCGTGCTGTCCGCTTGGCCTACCGGCTCCCTCCCGGGGGTGGGGGATAAGGGGATGGAGGTCAAGGGGGAGAAGGGATGAAGAGGGAGAAGAGGAGGAAACGGTGAAAAGAGGGGTAAAAGAGACCTGGAAGTAGTCAAGTAACTCTTCTATCAATATAAGTGGAAATGTCTGACGGTTCGAGGTTGGGGTTAAAAGTGATATGATAGGGGGATGGGATTGAGGAGGAGGGGCAGGAGATGGAGTGGGAAAGGATGGAGAGAACAGGGGAGTGAGATGGAGTGATGGGAAAGAAGGGAGAGGTGAAGAAGAGGAAGAGAGGTGGAAGGGGGAGTGGGGGAGGAAGGAGACAATCACGGGTATCTTTCCTAGTGTGTGCGCCTTCCTATCACTATCTTCAGGGGAGTTAATTCTAGCTCTTCATGCCCCGCCTGCTAGCCATGCACTTCTTGCGTTTCGATATAACTATTCTGACGTTCAAATTCTTTGTCGAATCTGGTCTTAAAGTTGCGGATGGAGGTGGCTTCCCAAACTTATCCTTTTAGAACATTTGACTTGTTAACTACCTGTACACGGTACGAGTACTTCCTTACCTTCATTCGGCTCATTTGCGTTTCCAGCTTCCAACTGCGACCTCTTGTACTGTGTTCTCTTAATCTGAAGAGGCTATCCTTGTCCACAGTATATTCACCTCAGTATCTTGTATGTTGTGATCATATCTCTTTTGTTCCTTTCATCTTCAAGGG